CAGTGAGCTGTGATACTGCACTCCAGCCTGGGCGACTCTAGGTGAGACCTTGTCTCAAAGAAAATAAAATGGGGGAAAAAGATGACTAAGGTCTGATAGGGGAGATCTCCCACCCGGCTGTGGAGATCAGGGGTGAGTTTGGAAAAATGTATAGGAACTTGGCTGGGCAGGGTGGCTTATTCCTGTAATCCCAGCACTTTGGGAGGCCAAGGTGGGTAGATCACTTGATGTAGATCACAGGAGTTCAAGACCAACCTGGTCAACATGATGAAACCTCGTCTGTACCAAAAATACAAAAATTAGCCTGGTGTGACAGCGGGCGCCTTTAATCCCAGCTACTTGGGAGGCTGAAACAGGAGAATTGCTTGAACCCCAGAGGCAGAGATTGCAGTGAGCCAAGATTGTGCCACTGCACTCCAGCTTGGGTGACAGAGTGAACTCCCTCCGTCTTAAAAAAAAAAAAAGAAAAAAAAAATGTTGGAGGGAATAGATGCCCAGGGTCTGACAGCGCAGATCTCCCCAACCACCCAATGCAGTCAGGGGTTAGCCTGGAAAAATGTATAGGGACCCAAGTCTCTCCCCAACCCCCAATCCAGTCCTCACCCTTCGTGTGCCCACGTTTGGAAGAGTCGTGAGCCTTGCTGGCTTGAGGCGGTTGGTCATTATAGAGCAGGAAGGCGAGCTGGGGGCGAATAAACGGAGACAACGTGAAATTCCTCCCAGGCAGGGCGGCCCTAGAGTTTCACCCTTACTTGGCCCCGGGCCCCCTTCACCTGGCTGCTGTTGCTCCGGTACAGCGGCTGTAGGCTTCGGCCCACGGCCCCCTCCGGGCTGTCGATGAGTCCCCTGCCGTCCCGCCAGCCTCCGGAGCTCTCGTCCAGATACTTGTACTGCAGCCCTCTCTGCGCCGCCTCCCCGGACCCTCTAAGAGCTGGCAGCTTGTAGACCACGAACCTGGAGGTCGGAGAATGCACAGAAATAGGGGAGAGGGAAGAGAAAGCACCCCAGGGTTCCCCGAGGAGGCAGCCATCCCGGTCGAGTGACCCCCGCCGGATCCCAGGGCGATGGTAGGCCCCCCGCTGCACACTCACCAGTCTACAGGATGCCCAGAGTCCCCGTAGCAGGTCAGGGCCCCGGCGGGGACGCACAGCAGCGCGGCCAGCAGCAGCGGGATCATCGCTGCTATGGGGCTGAGATCCAGGAATCTGTGTCGGGGCTGCGGGGCGATGGGTTGCAACAGAAGCCAGGACTGGCACCTGGCACCTTTTATTTCCCTAAACTTGCCTGGGAACCCGGGCGGGGACATCACGAGGGTAGAGACTCCTCCCCCGAGACGCGACGCTGCGTTTTGGAGAGGCAAAAGGCAGGCCCGAGTCTGCTCAGACCACGCCCACGACGGGCCAGGCGCTCCAGCGTCTCTTGGATCGTGGTCACTGTTCCTTTTAGTGGTAGCTAATCCCAGCCCATGCACTTCTGTTCGACCCAACTCCTGCCTCGGTTTCTGGATCAGGCACAAGTTTGATTTTATTTCCAGCCCTACAACCTGGGTCCAACTCTTGTGACCTTTGTTATTCTTCTTCTTTTTTTTTGAGATGGAGTTTCACTCTTGTCGCCTAGGCTGGAGTGCAATGGCACAATCTCGGTTCACTGTAACGTCCGCCTTCCTGATTAAAGCGATTCTCCTGCCTCAGCCTCCTGAGTAGCTGGGATTTCATGCGCCCACCACCACGCCCGGCTAATTTTTGTATTTTTAGTAGAGACGGGGTTTTTCCATGTTGACTAGGCTGTCTCGAACTCCTGACCTCGTGATCCAACCGCCTTGGCCCCCGAAAGTGCCAGGATTACAGGAGTGAGCCACCGTGCCCTGCCATGATCTTTGTTCTCTTAAGAAGCATTTGTGCTCCAGTGGATCTTCCCCTTTTTCTTTCTTGGGGTTTTTTTTTTTTTTTCCTTCCTTCCTTTTTTTTTTTTTCTTTTTTCCCCAGACAATATCTCACTCTGTTGCCCAGGCCGGAGTGCAGTAGCATGATCTTGGCTCACTGCAACCTCTGCCTCCCCAGTTCAAGTGATCCTCTCACCTCAGCCTCCTGAGTAGCTGGGATCACAGGCACATGCCACTATGCCCAGTTAATTTTTGTAGTTTTTTTGGAAACACGGTTTCACCATGTGGCTCAGGCTGAACTCCTGAGTTCAAGGGATCCATCTGCCTTGCCTCCCAAAGTGCTGGGATTACAGGCATGTAATCCACCCCACCCAGACTCCCCTTTTTCATTCTGCACGTTTTCCCCAGGACTCCCTGAGCTAGCAAAGATGTGACTTAATGTTTGGTTTTTGTTATTTTGAGACAGGATAATGGTTTCTCACCCAGGCTAGAATGCAGTGACTCCATCACGGTTCACTGCAGCCTCAACCTACTGGGCTCAAGTGATCCTCCCAGGTAGCTGGTACTACAGGCCTGTGCCACCACACCCAGATAATTGTTCATTGTGGTGATGAGGGTCTCACTATGTTGCTCAGGCTGCTCTGGAACTCCTGGGTTCAAGTGATTCTCCCACCTCAGCCTCAAGGGATCATGGCAGGGCAAAGGGCTATGGGAATCTGAGTACTGGCTTGAAACTGCCTTTGCAAAAATTATAACAGAAAACCAACTCCATCTTGCCTTTAATCCCCAAACTGCCCTTGCTTGGTCATTCCTGGGTGTGGGGCCAAGCTAATTTTTTTTTTTTTTTTTTTTTTAGACGGAGTCTCACTCTGTTGCCCAGGCTGGAGTGCAGTGGCACGATCTCGGCTCACTGCAAGCTCCGCCTTTCCAGTTCACGCCATTCTCCTGCCTCAGCCTCCTGAGTAGCGGGGACTACAGGTGCCTGCTACCACGCCCAGCTAATTTTTTGTATTTTTAGTAGAGACAGGGTTTCACCGTGTTAGCCAGGGTGGTCTCAAACTCTTGACCTTATGATCCACCCAGCTTGGCCTCCCAAAGTGCTGGGATGACAGGCGTGAGTCACCGCGCCCGGCCAACATTTTTTTTTTTTTTTTTTGACACGTTGTCTCGCTCTGTCACCCAGGCTGGAGTCCAGTGGCATGATCTCAGCTCACTGCAACATCCGCCTCCTAGGTTCAAGCAATCCTCCTGCCTCAGCTTCCTGAGTAGCTGGAATTATAGGCATGCAGCACCATGCCCTGCTGATTTTTGTATTTTTGGTAGTGACTGGGTTTCGCCGTTTTTGGTAGAGATAGGGTTTTGCCTTGGGGCTCAGGCTGGTGTTGAACTCCTGGGCTCAAGTGATCTGCCCACCTCGGCCTGCCAAATTGCTGGGATTAAAGAGGGAGCCACCTATGCCTGGCCCCAAGCTAATTTTGGGAGAAATTTAGTTTATAGCTTAAATGATAATAGCCCTTCCCCAAACTAAACTGCCTTTGTAGAAATGATGACAGGGCACTAGGTTAGGAGGATGAGAGGAGCCTGAATTCTGCTAAAATGTAGTTGTAGTAGTTAAACTATGACCAGCCATTATTCTGGCCGGGTGCAGTGTCTCACGCCTGTAATCCCAGCACTTTGAGAGGCTGAGGCCGGGGGGTGACCTGAGGTCAGGATTTCGAAACCAGCCTGGCCAATATTTCGAAACCCCGTCTCTTCTAAAAATACAAAAATTAGCCAGGCGTGGTGGCACGTGCCTGTAATCCCAGATACTCGGTAGGCTGACACAGGAGAATCACTTGAACCCAGGAGGCAGAGGTTGCAGTGAGCCGAGATGGCACCACTGCACTCCAGCCTGGGCGAGAGCAAGACTCTATCTCAAAAACAAAAACAAAGATGGCCAGCCATTATTCTGGAGGTCACAAGGTTTGCAACTTCCCCAGTTATTTCTGCAAATAACATGAGTATTGCAAAACCTTACACTGGCCTTTTTAGATGTCTTTTTAGGCTTTTTGTATATCTGACAACTGGATGACCCCACCCAGACTAGTGACTGTATGGTCCCTATCCAAAAGCTGACTCAGCAACTGTTTTCCACAGTCCCATGATTGCATCAAGGCACCCATTCCCTAGCCCTTCTGCCCACCAAACTGTTCTTGAATAACCCTAGCCTCTGAATTTTCAGGGAGGCTGATTCAAGTAATAAAACTCCCATCTCCCATTTAGCTGGCTGTATGTGGATTAAACTCTTTCTCTATTGCAATCCGTCTGTCTGGATAAATTGGCTCTATCTGGGCAGTGGGCAAGATGAACCCCCTGGGCAGTCGCAGGCTGTGGATTCTCAAATGCAGGGAGATGTTTGCTGTCAATGTCCCCAGGGTTTGAGGCAGAAGACAAACATGGTGCAGCCTGAACTGGGCGGGAAAAGAGAGGACAGCAAGGCCTGCAGTGCCCAAGGAGGCTTGTTGGAGTTAAGGGGTGTCACTGTAGTTTAGGAGATGAGGGTGTGTAAGGCCCTCTAATATGACCTCTAGGTTTACAGCCTCCTGCTATCTTCCAGCCTCCAAAACCCCAAAATTCAGGCAAACGCTGAAGCTTTATCTGGGAGGGGCATTTTTATAGGACCCATAACCATTGACAGTTAATATCAGCCACAATAAGGGACCTTCAGGAGCCCCTTTCTAGACCCAGGGTCTCTGGGAAGCCTCACCCCACACCCTCTCCTGCTGTCCAGGGCCATCTGGGAGCTGGTCTGAGTGTCCACTGAGTCCGTTTATTTGGTGGTCTGTCTCACTGGGTCTGCATGACAGTTTGGACATCTCTGTGTGGCTCCCTGTGGCTGAAGACTTGTCGGATTTCCGTGGGAGGCTCCCCCAGGGCTGTCTATGGGTCCGTTTTTGATATTTGGGTGAATCTTTGGGACAGCGAGTCCAGGAGAGGGTCCATTCGTGGGAAAACCACCCAGCATTGTGTCACGCGTGTCCGTGTAAAGAAACCACCAAACAGGCTTCTTGTCCCATCCCCAATCCCCAGGACAGTCCAAGTGCCAGGGCAGGGCTCAAAGGTGCCGCTTCATGTGCAAAGCCAGGTGGTCTGAGCGCGAAAAAGCACGTGGGCAGAGCTGGCAGCGGAAGGGGCGTTGCCCCGTGTGTTTCCTGTAGTGGCGGGTCAGCTCGTCCGAGCGCGCGAACCTCCAGCCGCAGCCTTCCCACGTGCAGGCGTATGGCTTCTCCCCTAGGGGACGAGGAAGTCATAAGCGCTATTGTCAGCCCAGTCATGTCCCCGGGTCCCCTGCATCTGGCCACACCCCTTTACTCAGTCTGGGCTGGGACTAGGATGAACAAAGTGAGGCCCCTAGGGCACAAAATTTAAGGAGGCACTCACTCTCAGAGCCAGCCAAGTCCAAGTCCCGCCCTCTGCAATCCTTCTTTCCCGGTAACTACAGCGGGTGCCACCCGCTTTCTCATGTCCGGGTCCCACCCGCTTTCTCATGTCCGGGTCCCACCCCCTCACCTGTGTGCGTGCGCAGATGCGCCTTCAGGTGGGAGCTCTTGGTGTAGCTCTTGCCGCAACCCGGGTGCGCGCACGTGTGCGCTGCCTGCCTCTTGCGCGCCCACGAACGTCGGCCGCGCTTGGATGGCGCGGCTTCGGCTATCACACCGGGATCCCCTGCAGTCCCCCCGAGTCCAGTGCCCACCGTCCCGGGTCCCAGGCAACTCAGGAAGGAGGGGGACGTGGCGGGGCCGGGCGCGGGTCCCTGGAGCCCGCGGAAGAGCTGGAAGTGCCCTTGGTACTGAGGCGCCGGATACACCGCGGGGTACCCGGACAGCAGCCCATAGGGGGCGCCCGACGCCGCAGGCACTGAAAGCCCGGTCCGCTGGAAGTAGCCGCCCGAAGAGCCGGCGCCGGGCCCGGGGTATACCGGTTGCAGCGCCAGCGCCTTGGGCTCGGGGGCCGGGGCTGGAGCCAGGGCTGGGCCCACGAAGGCGTCGGGAGCCGGGGCTCGCAGGGCAGGGCGCACCCAACCTGAGTGATCCTCCGAACCCAAGAGCCCAGCCACCATCCCCGGGCCGCCCGCATAGGCGCCCAGAGTCTCGGGGGGCGGCGGGTATTGCACCCCGGGGGCCTCGCTGGGCGCCAGAGCGCAGGTCTGGGGCGCGCCACCCGGCTCCGGGCCCGAGAAGTTGGTGAGGAAGAGATCCAGGTCCCAGGTGGCGTCGTCGCCCCTTTCATCGTCCTCCTCCTCCCCGGGTTGGTCCTCAGACTTCACATGGAGGGGCGGCTCCGTGGGGTCAGGAGGACCCGGGCCCATGTCCTGCGCCTCTTCGGAGCGCCACCACTGCGGGAGGGAGCAGGCAGCTTGAGGTTCGGTGGACACTGAGGTGCCCTGCCCAGGGACATCGCAGGCTGGGTACTCTTACGGGGACAGGCCGGCCAGAGGCTTTGGAAAAGGGTCCTGTTTGCCTGTCTCTC